AGAGAAGAGAAGGAAAGAGCAGACATAAAATTTAAATTTTTAAAATTTCATTAAATTAAATTAAATTGACATTAAATTGCTTATTGCAGGTTATATAGGAAATATTATTCGCATTTAACCACATTGATTTTGTTTTTRTAAGACAAAATAACTGTTACGGCCATTTTCTTATTGTTAGTGTTATAAGGCCTCAAATTTTAATTTTTCGTGTTACAGAGGCCAAAAAAAATACACAGCATTTAGTGATATAAAGGCACCCCCATTCAGACCCTCGTTATTGGCCCATATGAACTGCTCTCGTTGGATCCGCGCCAGAAGATCCCTTTTTCCATACCTACGATGAGAGTGCCAGGTGTATGAGGCGCGTAGGCGAGCATATACACACGTGCGTACTACTGGCAAGAAAATATTTGTCTTTGATAGCAAAGATTATTAAAAATTCACATAAAGTTGGTGCCTTTTATATGCTCTCGATATCCCTCAAAACGCTGGAAATAGCATTTCCAAGAATTATTATTTCAGACCCCTCTTAATACTCTTGCCTTCGGCGGTCAATAATCTTCCCTAATCCAAAATATGTGTCGCGGTCCTAGACTTGTGAGTACTAGCCAAAAAGTCCATGCTCCGCGCCTGGTATGTTAAACCTCGTAGTCCTGTTTATGCCTAATAACCCTAACCTTCTCCCCTCTATATACTCCAAATAGTTGAATGCACTGAATAGGAGCCGTTAGAATTAGATAAAAAGTATAATTGTGAATGTTCTGAGACCAGGTGTAAGCGATGTAGGTGTAGTATATGATCGTCCAGGTGTGAGAAGTCTTTAAAGATATTCTGAAAATGACTGCAATTAACAAACTTCTTTTTCAATACTTCTCACACCTGGACTATCATATCTATAAGATATATATTATACAAATAATGCATCATGAATTAAGAAATATRTGCGAAACTGGTATAAGTTTTTATATCACTATGACAACAGAGGCACTTATCAACCCACATAATCAACTTTTACTGATAAACGTTATCGTGCATGATAAGACAATACAAATAGTGTCTCTCAGTTAACATCTTGATAGTTCGTATAGTGTTTCATGAGGTCCTATTGTACAGATACATCTTATTTAGCGACCGTTGTGATCATTCTCATTCTGATCAACTTCTCGAAACCGTAAGCTTAAATTTGAACCATTTTGAACATTGTGTGGAAAACTGGGAAGCTCAAACTGATGAGGGGATGCATTTTTGACGTGATCTTTAAGGTAAGCCTTTGCAGTTATTATTGAGTATTTCTTTTAGAGGAGTGATCATTTTATTGCTTAAGGTTGTTAGAAAGATTAATCTTATGATCTCTGCTTGAAATACCGATTTGCGAATTGTCCTGCGAGATTTTCTGAGAACGGCGAGATAAAATGCATCGAAAACGAGTAAAACAAGGATAACGGAAAAGAAAGAATATATGTTATATATATCATTAGAGAATAAGTAAAGGAAAAAGCTTTATTTATTATACACTTTATTTTGACCTGTAGCTGGTGTAGTCATGTACCCGGCTGCAGGTCATAGTGTTTTCTTCGTTCTATAAAAGACACAGGAAGACAGGTCATAGTCTTTACTTCTTTCTATGAATACAGGAAGTCCAATGTATTTATTTTGACCTGTAGCACTGTCGACGTGGCCCCTTTTTGCGGGGTATTCGATAGTTGCTCACCTCCTAGCCCCAAGATGTAATATTCTCAACAAAATGAATTACCTATCATGAATAAAAAAAAGTCATAGCGCAAAAATTCTCAGTGTGTTATGGGCGGGACTTTAATAAGGAAGMCTTCTACYACRCAAAGSCWTRATTTGACAGTATTCAATAATTAGAATTATTCATGGCAATACCTATATATCTCAAAGGTTGATTTCACGGTTTCTGGGG